CTGAGTCAGGAGGAGGGCCACCACTGGGCTGCCCTCACCTCTCGTCTCTACCTTGTGCTCTCCCCATCCCCTCTCACCCCTCTCTCTGGTGTGAATTGTCCTCTCCCCTCTATGTTAGTTGATTGAGCTGTTTTTTGTAGGTGTGTCCCAAACCCAACGTTAATGGTGCTGTTCTTTAAAAAATAACCAAAAAAACCCAACAACAACAAAAAAAATCCCTCCCTAACTCAAGCAGCACAGCCGAGCCCCTGAAAAGTGACATTGTAAAAACTGTACATGGTGATTGGAACTTTGTAATAAAACTGTTATAATAACCTCGTCCCCAGAGATGCCAATTGCTGCGTCCCGCCGTCGGGGAGAGGGAGCCTGCCCAGGACCCAGGGGGAAGAGGAGCCCCCCAGCCAGACCCCATGGGTAGGTGTCTGTGCCAGCAGCTCCTGGTGCTGCGGCGACTGAGCTGGGGGTGCGCGTTCCCCCCCCATGGCTATTCGCTGCACCTCACTCGGGGATGGTGACTCGCGTGAGCTGTCTGGAGATGCCATGGAGGGGGGAGAGTGGTCTTGCTGCCCCACACTGCACCCACCCCCCCCCCAGGCTCTACTCATAGCACCCCCCAGCCCCCGGCTCTTGCCGGATCCAGCAGCAGCTGCGATGGGTTCCGCCAGCGTCCCTGGGAGGGTGGTGTCCCAGAGGCATGCACGGCATGTGCTGAATAGCGGGTGTTGTGCAAGGCACTGCTTTTCCTTTCCCTTTCCAGCTCGTTCATTAGTGATGGCAGCATTATGGCCTCTCCCGTTTTGCTGCTGCTGCAGCAACCCACCCTGGCAGGAGCTGGGAAAAGCCGTGAGCTCAGCAAGGCAGGAACTGTATAAATCCACCCTGTGTTTTCTGTGTTTCAGAGGCTCTTGTGTTGGGTGGGGATTAGCTGACTCGTGAGCTGTTCCAGGAGGAGCAGTGCCGGTCCCTGGGCTGGGGAGGGCAGGGGCAGCTGGGGGGGGCTGCGTGTGGCTGGGCTGGGGCAGGAGCAGGAGCTGGTGTAAGCATGACGACAGCAGCGTTGGGAGCTGCAGCTTGCTGTGCCATACTGGGCTGTGAGCGGTCTACCCTAAATTAACCCTAAATTAACTTGTATCCCCTTTACTGGATATTTTTGAGTCAGTGAGTTACCCTCCACGACAGGGTTAAGGGCTCCTGCAGCGAGCTGCGCAGGGCTGGATGCAAGCTGGCGGAAGCGGCTGAGCGGCAGCGTTGCCTCCACACCGCTCAGCGGGTGCCTGCTGGTTTGGGGACAATTGTGACAAGTTTGTGGTTTGAAGGACCAAAGGGTCTGTAGCATTTAGTCATGCAGTAGCGGCTGATGTTTTTAGAGAGTGAACACTATTCCACTCTGAACGTTGTGTTTCAGGCTCCCAGCGGGGCCAGGAGCTCAGCACTGCCATAGCCACTCTGGTAGCTGCTTGGTAGGAATCAGAGTAAAGCAGCAATTTCCTGCCTGAGAACTGGGTCCTTTAGGGTCAATTTGATGAGACCGGAGCTGGAACTAGGTTCTGGAGATAGACTTGCTCGGCTGGAGCAGTTTCAGGCTCAAGGTAATGCCACTGTCTGACAGCGCACCGCACACGCAGCCCGGGCAGCGCTGCACACCACTGGGATACAAGGGCTTGGGAAAGGAAGAAGCTGAAACTCTGTCTGTGGGTGCTTCTCCAGCAGACAATATAAATGATTTCAATGTGGTAACATGAAATGGAGGCCAGCAGAGAGTGGGCTGGCAGCAAGTAGCTGGTTGTGTGACTTGCAGCCACAGTCAAGGAGGCATTTTTAAATGCGCGGCAAGATCGGTGGCAGCCAGCACTGTCGCTGGAGCTGTCCATCAACATGCAGCTGCCCGTGACGCAGAGAGCATGGTGCAGCCTGGGCGAGAGCCTCCAGCGTGACTGGGGCTGCGTGGCACATCCCGGATCCAGAGGCGAGTTGCTGTGAGCCGACCTCTTGCCCTCGGGGAGGCACGGGCAGGCTCCGGGCTCTCCTTCCTGAGGGTCCAGTGCCTGTTCCCCAACGAGGGACAGCCACAGCGATCGGCAGTGCCCACAGCTCCTGTCCCACTCTTCCCCTCTTTCATTCATAACTCATCCACGCTGAGGCCCAGCTGCTGGAGCGAGTGGTGCCCAGGTGGCTGCACCGGGACAGACCCTATCACTTCCTGGCAGTGGCGCGGTCACGAGTGCTGGCACTTGGACACCCCACACCACAGCCAGCCCCCAGGCCAGCCTGGCGTGCAGCAAGCGTCCACAGCAGCATTGGCATGCTGCTCTCATCACTTGTTAGAGCAGAGGGTTAGGGTAAGCACAGGCAGGACCCATTGAGGTGGCTGCTATTTGGCCTTTCTGACCCCAAAACCACTCACAGCAGCCAGGCCACACAGCCCAGGGCTGCAAGAGGAAGGACGCACGTTGTCAGCGGCATCCTGGCTGGGCCTGCACAAATGCTGCTGCAGCAGCTGTGCCCTGACCCCGCAGGGAAGGATCCGAGGCTTCCCCACATCTGTGGGGTGGGCCCAGAAGGGCCCTGCCCAGGTCTGCCAACAGAAGGGAGTGGGAAAACCTGTGCAGGGCAGCAGGGAGCTGTCTGCCCACAAGGCGAGGGCCCTCATCTGCTGGCCTTTCCCTTCTCACCAGCATCACCATGTGGCCGGAGTGCCCACGGGCTTGCCCAGGAGTTACACACATCCAGGCACAGCTCCAACACTGCCCGAGCTGTTTAATGCCCATTTACTGCAAACCAAACAGCCTGAGCTGCAATTTTATTAACTCTACAGTGTGCTAAAGAGAAGAGATGCTTCTTCAGCACCCAAACCTTGGCAGTTTAGCCCACCACAGGGAACTTCTGCCTTTCGTCTTCCTGCTTCTGCCTCTGCAGCAACTGTCTCTTCCCCTCAAACAGCACAATGCCAGCAGCAATAGCGGAGTTCAAGCTGTCCACACCTGGCACCACGGGAATGACCAGTCTCTTCCCCCCGGTGCTGGCTGCGAGGTGAAGCGCACCTGGACTCAAACCGTGAGTCTCTCCACCGATCACCACTGCCACTGGAGCCTGTGTCCAGTTCTCGTGGTAATACCGCATGGCCAGCTCTGGGACACAGACACCCACCGCTTCCTTGCCCCCAGGAGCAGCTGTGGGTTTGGATTTCACAGGAGCTTTCGGGTTGCCAGGAGCAGAGCCAGCCCCGCCAGCTCCCCACGACACAGACGCAGTCTCAGCCCAAGTGTCTGGGTCTTTGTTGTCAGCCACACAGACCTGGATGCCGGCAGGAAGGTTGCTGGGAACAGATTCCCAATCCAGGTTGGCAACAATGGGCAGACGGAAGTGAGCCCCCATGCCTGCACGGAGCACCTTTGGCTCCCATGGATCCACGCAGCCTGAGACAGAAGGGGGAAAAACAGCGACAGTTCAGCGGCTTCCACAAAGATGGATTCAGCAGCTGCTGCTTCCCCCAGCAAATCCTATCTGGGCCAGGCACTGCTTACAAACTCTTGGGAGCATCATCTTCAAACACCTCTTATTCCCTGCCTTACCCCCAAACTAAACTTTTCTCTCTTACCTTTGGTGAGCAGCACCTTCTCACAGCCTGCTCCTGCTGCAGATCTCAGAATAGTCCCCAGGTTTCCTGGATCTCTGATATTGTCGCAGATGAGGAGCAGCGGCAAGGAGCTGGTTAGCTGAGCGGCAGGGTAAGACATCTTGGCATGGTCGGGCTTGGAAAAAATCCCTGAGGAGACAAAGTGCTGACAGGCTTCTGACTAACACACCCCAAGGACAGGGCTGTCTCTGATTTAGTTGGCCCAAATCTCACTGAAGAGTTGCTGGAGAAAACACTAGGAAAAGCACGGCTTAAAAGAAGTTTGAGAAGAGTTTGTCACTTCACAAGAATAACTATTTCCCAGCAGAGCTTAAGCAACGGGCTATGAAAAATGAGCATTAGAACCTTCAGTGCACTCTAGGAGCCACTTTCAGAGTTACTATAGCCTGCCAATAAAAGGGAATTCTCTCAAATTATGCCACTCTTGACACACTGCCATCCAGGGTACGGTTATGGAGAATCATTATCCACTTACGAAGTGTGAAATAAGTTTTCCTTTGAGCAGTGTTGTGACTGTTTCTAAGGCAACTCACCTAAAAGCCCCTGAGGAGTTACGAGGTCAGACCAGCTCTTAATGTCTTCAAATTTCACCTTAACTAAGCTGGCTCGTTTCAGCTCCGCCTCAGGCAGCTCCTTCAGGTGCCCTACAGTGCTGAAGAAGAGAGTCTGCAGCACAGCTCCTGCCCCCAGGGCGTCCTTGATCAGCCTGTGACCCTCCAGCAGAACCTTCCCGTGGCGGTCCCGAAACTTCTTCGACTTAGCGATAGTCACCACTTTTCTGCGAAGTTAATCAGAGAAAACGGCTGTGACGCTAACACCACCTTCAGTCTGACGTTC